CTGCCATTAATCTCTCAAAACACTCTCTTGTTTCAAAATACTTATCCCATTGTTCTAGACAATGTATATTTACTGAAATAAGTTTCTTTAACTTAAACATTTACCATATCTTTGAACCACCCCTAACACTGTCTATATTTTCTCATGTATATTATGGAGGAAAAGAAGACACATACTCTTGATAGTGCATTCCAGCTTTTCAAAGCTAAATAAATGTAATAAGTTTAGAAAATGATAAATCTACCTTAAAATTTTCCAGTTGAAGTATAAAATTGTTAAAAAGAATCATGTAGAAGTCCTAAGGGAACTAGGACTAGAGAAGGTCTATGGTCAAAATACAGGTGTAATACTATAATTTCTCTGTTGTGTTGAGGTAGATGTTATTTTGTTAGGAAGAGCCCATTTTACTTGAGGAAATAGAGATAGGAGTAAATACGTTGTTTTTAAAAAACTTCATTTTCATTAGTGCATGTTTGCAGTACATAATTACGCTCATTATAGGGACTTGGTATGCATACATAACACGTTTTAATTCTCACTTCCTTTTCCTCTCCTCCTTCCTTCTCCAATCATCTCTGTTATCTTCCCTGTTGCAAAAGACATCTCTGTTTCCTATTATCTATCTTTGTTTTGCAGTTGAATTTATTTATACATCGGGGACTCTCATATAAGAGAAAGCTTGTGTATCTGATTTATTTCATTTAACATTAAAGGTCTTAAGACGCATTTATTTTCCTACTAATTGAAAAGATCATTGTTATGGTTTAGATCTAGAGTGTTCCCCAAGACCCTCATGTGTTCAGAGGTGAGGTTTTTGAAAAGTGATTGGACCATGAGGGTACTATATTCACAAGTGGATTAATCCACTGGCGCTTTCATAGTTGACTTGCCTGGTCAGAAGAGGCAGTTGGCCTGAAGTCTTTATCTCCCTCCCCAGCTTCTCTTTTCACTCTCTGCTTCCTGACCACCATCAAGTGAGCAACTTTCTTCTCCCACATTCTTCCAGTATGGAAGGATGCCTTGGAATCCTGCCTTGGAATCAGGTCACCATGGACTAAACCTTCTAAAAATCGTGGGCCAAAATAAACATCTCCTCCTTTAAATTTGGGTGTCAGATATTATGTATGTTTCAGTGACAGAAACCTAAGACATTCATGATACTTGACAGGATCCCATGTATTATTTCTCTGAAGTTGGCAATTCAAATATTAAGGACATTATTCTTTTCTGGTAGAACTCTTAATATTGAATGACAGACACTAAGACAAAAAGTAATGCCATAAATGTATATGTGTATCTACATCTTTATCTGTATCTGTACATCTCCATCCTCTTGTTCTACCTCACTGTTGAAAAGGAAGATTCTTCAAAACCTTGATATGCAAGCTTCACTGTAAGAATCAGGTTGTCTGAACAAAAAATAAATAATTCTAACTTTTTCAAAAAAGGCAAGATAAGTCAACCTAGTCTTTGTGCAGAACATAGTTGTAGTATTACCTTAAGAAGCTGGGGATACAGCTCACTGCCACAGCACCTTCTTGGCAAGAGCAAGATCCTGATGAGTTCAATTCTCAGTACCAAAAAAAAAAAAAAATTACCTTAAGAGATCCGGCAAAAACACTTCAGATCCTTCCTCTAGAAATGGTACAGATGGTCTATAACTAGAGAGGGGAACTCTGTCAGCAAGTTGATATTGAAATTAGTGCCCTTACTCTTTTAATATGTTGTATCGGTAAGAATATAGAAAATGATGAATGTTTTCAGCTTTTTTTTTTTTACAAAAAACCCTACTTTTTTTTTACTACTATAGTGGCTTTCAAAAATTTGTATTTCTTTGGTTTCTTTGTATCAATGTGTATTATTTCTGTTTACATACATCAGGGAAGGTGGTCTTGGAAATACAGTATAGGGTAGAAGAAAATGCTATTTATAGCTTAGGTGATATTACAATTTAATGATGAATTTAGCTCAGGGGAGCTTCCTAGCACATCATTAAAGAACAGTTATAGGAATTATCATATAATAAAAGATCATTATAAGACTCTTATAAACATAAAATGCTTGCTTCTGACCATTCCTTTCATTTTCCAGAGTCCAGAATTGAACCCAGGACCTTGCGCTTGCCAGACAGGCACCATGCCACTGAGCTATATTTCCTCCACTCCATTTTTTTTAAGAGCTTGGTTCTAAAGGAACATCAAAAACCATGTTATTCCAATCCTTATGTAGAAGAGATATACCTTAGATATAAAAAATAAAAATGTTCTATGGGAAAAAGTTTAAACATTTGAAGGGAATGGTTTTCAACAACTTTTGAAGCATAATTTGTACATGAAGAAACACAGAGTAACTATAAATTATTCTAAGTTCTAAAGCACTAAGATATTCCACTGCTTGTTAATCTTCACAATGCTAGGCAATTGCTGGTCTGTGGACTGTCTGGAAACTAGCTTGGTTCTTTCTAGACCCACGATAATATTATCCCAGTGACTACCAGAACAGCCTAAGGAAAGGTTTGGTGGGGGTGATTGGACTATATTGTATAAGGGACTCAAGCGTGTATGAATTTTGGTATCCTCAGGGGTCCTGGAACCAATTCCCTGCAGATATGAGAAACGATTCTTGATATGCCTTGTAAGGAAAGCTGAAAGTCAAGAGAAATCAAAAGGCTGTGGGTGGGGCTGGGGATTTAGCTCAGCGGCATAAGCACCTGCCTTCTAAGCAGGCGGTCCTGAGTTTGATCCCCAGTGATTGGTACCAATAAAAAAAAAAAAGGCTGTGGGCAGTTACTTCATCTTTTAAAGCACAGCAGTGAGAAGAAAGAACACTTTAAGCCCACAGTGAACCGCAGTATGAATAGAATAAGTTACCTAATCATCACCAGTACGTTTCTCTCTTGTTCTTTTGCTTTGCAATCTTTTCAGCTATTTGAGTATTTTCTGTTCCTTTGTCCCATGTGTCTTACTACCTCCTATTCTCTTTCTGTCCTTTATCCATCATTCTTTTCTCCTACCTCTGAGTCTGTTTCTTTGACTTTGATCTCTCCTCCCTTTTACTCCTGTTTTCACTGCTGCCACTCTGTGCTCCATCCTCCATTCATCAGTCATCTTTTAAACTCAATTAGCCCAAATCTCTCTCTTGCTTACTCCAACCCTTTCCATAGTTTTTCACTATACCTAGAACACAAACAGTTTTACCATATCCAGTAAGCCCCTATATAATCTGCCTCTCCCTCCCTCTACAATCTCGCCTTGTATTTCTCATCCTTCTGTTCAGTTCAGTTCAACTACTTTGTACTTTTCTCCCATCCCATGCTCCCTTGCACTCAAAGCCTTTTGATTGTGTTCTCTTTACCTGATTAAGTTTCTTCTAGGCCATTTTGTAGCTGTTGCCTTCTCAGCCAGATCTCAGCTGTGTTCTCACCTTCTCGGAGGTGACCTCTTCTCTTCTCCCTGTATATTAAACTTTTATTTCTAGAGTGCCTATTAGATATAGAATTCTGTGTGCTACGGTTTGGATTTTAAATGTCCAAGCTTGAGCTGTTGAAGGTTTGGTCTCCAGTGCAGTAGAGTGTAGAAGGAGGGCCTTTGGCAAGTGATTCTATTATAGGTATCTCATCTCATGAATGGATTGATTCACTTATGAATTCATAGTTTAATGGGTTTGTGGGAAGCTTTTTGTTATAACAGCAAGCTCTTTCTCTGTATCCTGGCCAACATGATGTGAGTAGCTTTTCTCCACCACATGCTGGCACCATGATGTTCTGCATTGCCACCAGCCTACAAGTAATTGCATTGAGCAAACATGGTCTTTAGACCTACGGAATCAGGAGCCAAGATAAACATGTTATCCTTTTAAAGTTTTTTCTCTCTTGTTTACTTCAAGTATTTTATCACCATGACAGAAAACTTACTCCTAATATGCATTTATTACTTTTTACATTAAGGTATCTATTACTTTTAAAACTTAGTTAAATATATATATAAACAAATAAAATATTCTCTCTAACCATTTTGTTTTGTTTTCTTTATTAAAATCATGATTATTTTCAAATTATTTTCTTCATTCATGTTTACCTGTTCATTATGTTTCCCACTGCAATGTGAGCTACATGAAAGATGGGATTTGTTTTAATGATTTCATGTCTGCCATTCTAGCCCGTGTAGCCCAGCACCTACAAGATATCTTTTAAATTGTTGACTCTCATAAAGTATTTGTTAAATGAATAAATTTCAGTCACCTAAGAGATAAGCAGTATCTCTTTTGGTTGAATATGGTCACCCACATGCATTCACTTGAAAAAAGTGTTTTCATGAGATATTTTGTACAAATTGGATTTTTTAATGCAGTAAGTTGTTATTTCCAGTGCCCATGTACACAATACAAATAAGAAAGTGTCAACATTCATATACAGCCTATAAAAATGGCAAATTGGTTAGTATCTATTTCTGCATATAAGTGGTAAAGTTCACTGCAAAGTGAAAATTGAAAAGTGAAACTAATGTTGATGTGGATCAGAAAGTTAATACCTGACTTCTGTTTCCTAGGCAGTAGGAAACTGGGACAATAGTTGGTGATGCAGGTGAAGCTAGAATATGAGAATGCAATGGAATGGTCTACAGCATAGTGAGCATCAGTGAATGAGAGATACAGTTGCCTAGAGACTAATATGATGCGTAGTTATGAGAAAGTGATTAAGGCAAGTGGTTTAGAATTAGAACTTTGAAAAATTATAGCTCTTATTGACCGAGTACTGTTATCTATAATTCTTTTAGAAATTTCTAAGATAGGTATTTTTCTTCATCACTAGGACACAATACCTGACACCCACAATTTAAAGGAGAAGTTTATTTTGGCTCATAGTTTGTAGAGGTTTCAGTCCATAGTCAACTGAATCCAATGCAGGATGGCATAGCACAACAGCATGGCAAAGGAAAATTGGCTTGTGGTATTGTGGACCAAAAAGCAGAGAGAGTTAAAGGAGGAAGTAAAAGGGAAATATAATAAACCCCTCCAGGTCACCCCTCCAGTGATCTACCTCTTCCAACTAGACCCCACCTCCTAAGAGTAAACCAGCTATATTGCCCCTGTAATTCAATCTTCTCTCAAAAATCTCCCGTATGATTGCATGAGGTTTGGGGGAACATTTATATATAAACCATTATTTCTTTATTTAACAAATGAGTAAACTGAAGGCCAGAAAATTTAATGATTTACCAAAGTTATGTTGCTATATAAAAAGTGGAGTGATGATTTAAATCAGATTTTTCAATCTTAAAGCTGACATACTTTCGCCTGTGCCACGCTGTCTTCTTGGTAATGGTGTACTCCATTTATTTCTGTGATTCCTGGAATAAATTTTAGGGCACAGCATCCTCATGGAATCATGCCTAGTTGGATAGCAAATGCCTCTGCTGCCAGTGGAGAAGCAAAACTTAAGAGAAATGTCAAAGCCAAATTGGGCCGAAGGTTTGTTGACGAGGTAGGTTTCAAGCTTTGTGCTCTTACTTTTTCGTCCTTAATTTCTTCCTCACCATTCATCTGCAGCTCACCTCCTTGTCTTTCCTTTGTGGAAATCACCTTTCTAGGTGCTAATAATAAAGTCATTCTGGCCATGATGTGAGGAGAAGCAGCAGCTCAGCAAAATCACTGCCGAGAGCCTGTGCAGGCTTCAACATGTAATCTGAAGAGCTGAAGTATACAGTCCCCAAAGATAAAGCACTGGGAAAAATACAAAGCTAAATAGGGAGAAAAGCATAAGAAAATCTTACTGACAGAGATGAATTAGTTACAAGACTCATTCCCCAAGGGAAAAGATTTGGCTTCATTCTCAGAGACTCTGAGTAGAAACCATGTTGTGGGGGACCAGTTGGGGGAGGGAGAATCAATGACTAAGAGGTACTTGCCATCTCTGAGTTTTATGAAGATTAATGAGGCATTTTTGATTGGAGGAAAATAAAGTAAAAATAATAATAAAAATGGAGAAGTGGGCTGAGGCACTGCAAAGTTAAGGAGGAATAAAGCTTTGGGCTCCTAATCTGAATGAGAGAAACGATTTCTTCCAACTGGGAGACAGAGCTAATTATTTCAGCATTTTGGATTCAGAATTCAGATTCTTTTATTTACTTATTTTATGTACCTAAGCAAATTAGTTTTTCTAAGCCACGAAATAGGACTAATACTCTATTTTATATGCTATTTCTGACTGTACAATAGAGCTAACATTGATAGTTTTTATGACATTTAAATGAGATAATTTATGTAAAAGCCTCAGAAAAGTGTCTAAATTTGGATCTAGTGGTCCACACCTATAATCCCAGCATTCAAGAAGCTGAATCAGGAGGATCACTGTGAATTTAAGGACAGGTTGTACTATATAGTGAGACTCTGTATCAAACAAACAAACCTCTCCAAACAAACAAAGTAACACACAAATGAAAAATAGTGTCTAGTATACATTAAACATTCCAGAAATAACTAATTGTCACTGGAGCTTGACTTCATGCAGAGGGAGAAATGTGGCTGGGTTGTTAATAACAAGGTCACAATTATGGGGGCAGTTCTTCCCTTTAAATTTAACAACTCTGTCTCCTCAGTTTAGTTATTTGCTATGTTAATAGCCCACATCCTCCTTACTGACTTAAGCTTTAGCTTAACAAGAAAGGTGAATATAAATATGATAGATAACACTTCTATTCTTAGACAAGTTTTCCAAAGAGCAGCTCAGTAAATGTTAGTTGGAGTCATTTTAATGATACAGCCACCTCCCTACAAAGAAGGCAGTTGTGCATAGGGCAGGAGATAATGCTAATGGCAGTGTACATTTATTTAGTCTTTTACAGTTTACAAAGCAGTTTTTTTCTGAGTGGGTTACTACCTTCATTTTAAATATAAGGAAATGGAGGCTTAAAGAAACAAAGAACTCAATTAAGAGGGTGAAAGATAATTAGATGATTCAGCAGGGACTTACCGAACTCCTCTGATTCTATGTCTAGGGCTATTTGGTACCAGAAGTTACTGTAAGGCACATGGACAAGTAGAAGACTAGAACACTAGTTGCTTCCAATTATGAAAACAGTAAATTTGCAGAGTTGTGAGTTCGATCCCTGGTATTGATTTAAAAAAAAAAAAAGAAGAAGAAAAACAGTAAGTTTAAGAAAAGAAGAGAAATTTCAAATTACCTGTACTTAGTTATTAAACTGTATTCAGGGAGTCCACTAGGAGTGGAGGGAACCAAGTAGAACGTGTAACTTTATATAGCTCAGATTTTATTAGTTAAATTTATAGCATTAAAGTGAGAAAAAGTTGAAAAAATCTCATTTAAGTTAACTGTCTCATTTCGTCAAGAAAGATAGTAAGGCTAAGAAATGTCAAGTAACTTGTCTAAATCTCATAACCAGCAATGGAAAAAGATAAGACTAGCACTCCATCCTCAATCAACTGCATATTTAATTAACATATCATAAATGCTCTCACCCTCCAAATACTTTTATTACTTCAATCAAATCAATTAAGTGTGACAATCAAATAATGGATAATTAGTCTCCTCTGATGACCCTGGGATGATGAGTAAGTCAATATGAATTCTGAATTTCAGCTTTTCTATAGGTAAAATGGAGATGGTAATTCCTCATGAGGCAACTCCTAGTAGCACTGTAGTGATAACTATTTTAAAAAGTGGTGAATGTTCTCAGAGTGGTAAATATCTTGTAGAGGCGACAGAGTTAAGTTCAATATATTATTATTTATAAGTGCCTACCCAAAGTGTCATTGTTTGTAAGCAGAACTGCAATTTGCCATACTAATTTATTTGTCATTTCTCATTTGAAACTGGTTTGTAACATTTTAAAATACTACTAATCTATGAATGAATCTTGAGAACTTCTTGTCATATTGGCTTTGGATGATACGATTTTGTCATATTTTGCTACCTGCAGGTGGAAAGTAAACTTTTAGGTCAAATGTCTTTTTATTTTAGAAAAGTTATAGAAGCAGCTGTCACTCAGAATTCTAACCAACCTGGGAAGCTCAGAGCCAGATGGGGTCATAGGACTTGTATGCAGGTTATGGAATTTGGAACTCACTCATCTAACTAGAAGTTTGCCCTCCTTAAACAAGGAATACTAATAAAATATTATCACAGACTTTCAGGCTACTCTTGAAAGTAGGCTATTTTGCTCCTGACTTTGGCCAGCTTCTTAACCTTTCTGAGTCAGTTTTCTTACTTGTGTTTCCTAATCTTTCCAGGTAATAGTACTGACAAGAATCACAAAATAGGGTGAGATGTTTTAAAAATTGTGAAGCATCTACTGACTAAAAAAGTTGTTATTTTGAAGTATGTCAAACTCTACAATTATTTACAATGCATATTTCCACCAAATTCTTTCAATTTGTTAAAAATATTCACTTGGAAAGATAAAATACTGAGGTTAAAAAGAGGTGGTGTCTCAGTTTATGCTAGTCTATGCAGAAAGTAAAATGCCAATACTGAGTAAAGCAGAGCTAGAACTAAGAAGTTAGTTACTTCCTCACTTGGTTTTTCACAGAACAACAAACTATTTTTACATTTCCAATTAAGAAATTAAGAAAAAAGACTTCATTAAAATTCCACTCTGAGTGTCCCAAATTTCTAATACTTTCCTTGGAGGACAGCATTTCTATGCTTATACATGATGACACTTTAAAAAATCCGGACCTAGTTTCTAGTGTGCACACAACCGAGTCACAGAAGCCAACTCATATTTTAAGAGTACAGTGTTTACGAGTAGATGTCTGGCTAGAAACAGTGTTGGCAGGATCCTGGCAGGGCATTTATTCTCACTAATGATGTGAAACAGAACTGCATAATTATGCCCTCTTATATTAAGTCTACCCAAGACTGTCATGTCTTGAAACGGAAACAGCAGCAAGCACCTACTAAAGTCCTCACATTTTCCTGCAAAAGGTAGCACATCAGAATGTTCCAATATTCCCATCTTTGCTCCAGCTATTCATTTCATTTAGAACTTTCTTTATAAAAGCAACTTTACAGAGAATACAGTGACATCAGTCTGTTTTGCAGAATATTTGGGAGCAAAGAGACAAAAAATATTATATATGTGCCATTCCAGTCCAGGAAAAAAAAAACATCAAACATTTCCTTGTGGGGCCATTGAACAGAGGTATGTATGAGATGGATAATGCAGAGATAGGAGCTCTTAGGGCCAGAAGCCCAAAACCTCCCGGAATGTAAGGTTAGAGATTAAAAGATAGCCTACAGGGCCACAAGTCCAAGTAGGATCAAAACACATTGCCTTAAGGATTGAGTGCTCTGGCCCTTGTCCTCCCTAGACTCTAATATATTACTTCACTTGGCCCAAAAATCAGTCATGTTACAGACTACCCTGCCCTTCCTCTGGCCCCTATGAATTCCTGCACAGATGTCCTGTTATTTTCCTTCATCCTTGCTTCCTCATTCTATCAATAAAAAGCAGCAGAAGCTTCAGTTTTGAGCCGCCTTTTTTCCTGAAACTTTTTCATGCTGAAGGATCTTGACTAAGGTTGCCCCTCTGGGCCTTCTCAGAGGTCAAACTACACATAGTCTCTCATCCTTTGCTCTATGCCGTGCAACATTCCTTGGCAACAATACTAAATATGGTCTGAATATTAACATGTCCTTAATATAGACAGACAGTATAAGCTTTTCATCTCCTGCCCCAGAAAATTTATTGCCAGGTATATATTATCATTTTCTTTTCTAGCTTTACCCAGGACTGAAATCATCAGCAGTTATTTGTCAATAAAGAAAAAGGACAACAACATTTATTTTGGCTGTGTATGCATTGTTACTGTATCCCTCTTCTGAAGGAGAGTAATTTCATTCCATTAAGAATTAGATTCCAACCGTAGATATATGGGAAGCCATTTGGTATTTAATAGAATTCAGCTCATGTGCATAGCCCTAGAAAATGATAATTGCTAAGATACTAGGGCAAAGGAAATGCATAACAGCAAGCCTTTAAAATAGAAATCATTGGAATAATAATCAACCTGTTATAATTATTTAATATCAGTATTACTCAGTATTACAGACATTGAGGTAATATCATCAGATTTCTTTATCTTCTACCTCATTTCTAGACTTTCAAGAAATCTTCATTCCATTTTCCATAATGAAAGGCTGCTTCAAAGACTTTAGAAGTGAGCCATGGTATGAGGACACTAAGAAAACATTAATCTTTGAGATTAGTATTCAATAACATCTTTACCTCATATTAATAATTTAATTACAGTGCTTGGCAAATATTCTAAAGGTTTGACTATTTTAGAAATATTAAGATACTTATCTGAACCCAAATGTTACGGTTATTTCAGATGGATTGGAACTTGGACCTGGGGTAAGAAAAAGTCCTGTCTCCTGCTTTTCATTCCTTTCTTCTATTTATCCTTCTTCATTTTTCCACTCTTATGGCCATTTGTTACTCCTCATCTATATATACAGCAACACTTCAGTGGAAGGGGTTCAAGAGACAAATGTGCTTTTGTGGTGACCTTCAAAGATACACATGTAAGGCAAGACACTGCTGCTGTTGCTGCTTTCATAGACCCTGCAGCAAGATGTTTGTGCCTTGACTATTGATACAGATATAGCAAACAATTATCCTTTTAATTTTTAACATTGTCAAAGTTAATATATACCCTTTATTTTTCATCACTGCCAGTGTTAATATAAACCTTTTAATTTTTAACATTTTCAAAGTTAATATAAACCACATTAATGCTTTCCAGCTGGTGAAACACAGGAACGATCACTATGAACTAGTTTTATCAGTGGTTTTTCCAGTCAGTGGCTAGTACAGTTTTTGTTATAATATTGTCAGTGGTTATAGTGATAACTGCACTCAGTTATAGCACATTTTTTGGCATACCAAGTACTATCACTTTCAGTACTGTAGTGTAGATTTTCTTCAGACTACCATTCATTCTTCCAGACTTCCTCCATTGCCTTTGCCATCTTGTGACCTCTCTGTGTTGCTGTTTCTTCTTCTATGGACTTTATTACCTCCTTCCTTCATTCTCCAAATACGTTCAACAGAGAGTATCACATACACTAAACGTTACTAAGCATATTAGTGTTTTTAGGCTTTTGTAATATGTACCACAGACTAGGTGGCTTAAACAACAAAAAAATTGACTCACAACTATAGAGGCTATATATTCAAAATCCCCCTGAAGCTTCATGCAGTCATAGGTGGGGCTTCTTCAGAGGTGGTTACACCCAGAATGTATGATGCTGGGATCAATTTGTGGTTCTATGCTAGGATGAAAGACACTAAGATTAAGGATGTGAGCGCCATTCTAAGTAACCAGGATTACATTCAAGGGATAGAAACAGCTGTTGTCCTTTCCTTACTTTGCCACATTCTGCCCACCATGAACTATTTCTCTTCTCCAATGCCTATCTGCCACACCATGCTGCCTTGGAGACAGCCAATTGTGGACTGAAACCTCTAAATGCTGTGAGCTAGATAAACCTTTCCTCCTTTAACTTTAGATGTTGGGTATTTTGTCTCAGCAATGAGAGAAAAATAATTAAGACAAAATTTGTTACCAGAGAATTGGGGTCTTTGGGCTGTGACTGTACCTAACCATGAGGCTCAAGAGCCTTCAAACTGGCTTGTGAGAAGAAGAAGAGTTAGGAAAGATTTGGCGATACCAGCTGAAAAAGTAGAGCTGGAATGTCTGAGGCTGTGCTTGATGGGAAATTATGGTCAGAGCTCAGAAGACCAGAGTGTTGAAAGAAATCTGACTTGTAAAAACCAGACTCAGGAAGTTTTTGATTGAAAGAATGGCTACCTTGGTTGTCAGATTCCAGATGATGTGAGTTATGCCTTGGCAGTAAGTTTATCTGCATTTTGCTCATATCCAGAATCTTGCCTGAGACTGAGATTAAGGGTGATAGACTAATTAGTCTGGTAGAAAAATTTCAAGGCAGTTTAGGTTGAGCCATGGCTATTGTTGGGGAATTTTAGCCATTTTATGTTGAGAATCAAGAGCAAAGAGCCCAGAAAAATGATTCAAAATGATTTAGGTTTGGCCAGAAAGGAAGCACCAGTAAGGCTGTGGACTGCAAAAAGATAGGAGAGATACTGATTGCTGAGAAGGAACAGAATGGAAAAGATGATCTGAAAGCATTGCACAAAACAGGAGGATTTCAACCTTTGCTGCCTCAAAATTATAAAAGTGAAAAACTTTGCTTTGAGAAAATAGCCCCAGAACACCGTCCAGAATGGTGGTGGCATTGGGAAGTTATTCCTTGGTATTTGATTCATAGGCACTCTACTCTTACAGTTGAGAGAAAAGGAAGTCTGGCTACTGCTTCAGCTTATGACCAACGTTGGCATCATCCACAGAGTGCTATATTTTAGGTGCATGTAGAATGCAAGAGCTGTAGGATCAGGGGCTTCCACACAGATTTCAGAAGGCCTGGGAAGCCAAGCAATGTGTGAAGCTTGTGAGTGAGAAGCTAAAGGTACAGTGAAGATGTACATTGTCTATGGAAAACTGCAAGAAAGGAGCAGAGTCAGCTCCAGAGACAAGCTACAGTGAAATAGCCACTGGGACAAAGCCACTCAACTTCTTTGCACAATTTGCTATACATCGCTGAGGATGCTGGAAGTGGGACTGTGGGATTTAATGTTTGCCTTTCTGAGTTTTCTTCTTGCTTTGTTCCCATTTCTTGCTATCCTCCATTTGTAACTTTTGGAATGGAAATGTCGATCTCACGCCATTGGATGTGGGAAGTGTTTAACTGTTTTTTTTTTTTTAATCTGAATCAGGACCTGCAACTAAGAGTTTGCTTAAACGTCAGAGGAAACTTTGGACTTGGACTTCCAGCAATGCTGAAACTGTTTGGACTTTTGCAACTCTTAAAGATGGACTAAATGCCTTTTGCTTAAAGGGATATGCTTGAGTATTTGGGAGCCAGGAGCAGAATTTATGGCTTGCGTATAGATGCAAACCTCATGCAGCCATAAGCGGAGCTTTTTCAGAGATGATTGGATGTATTGTGTGATGTTGGAATTGACTCAAATTGCATGATAGGATCAAAAGTACCAGGATTAAGGGTGTGAGTGCTACCTACCCTAAATACCCAGAATAAAAGATAAAGTATATAAAAAGCTATGCTCATTCCTTGCTTGTTTTTATACCTTCCACCTACCATGAAGTGTTTCTCCTCTGTGATGTCTGTTTGCTACACCACCCTGCTTTGGAACTAGCAAGTCATGGACAAAAACTTCTATAAGCTGTCACGTAAATAAACCATTCCTCCTTTAACTTTAGGTATTGGCTATTTTGTCTCAGGAATGAGAAAAGTAACTAAAATAAGTCATCAAAAGGATTGTTCCTCCTGAGGGCTATGAGAAAAAGATCTGTTGTAGGTTTTTCTCCTTAACTTGTAGTTGGCTGTGTTCTTTGTGTGTCTTAATATCACTTTCTCTCTATGTATGTTTCTGTGTCCAAATTGTGCCCCTTATAAAGACAGTGGTCATATTAGGTGAGTATCTATCCAAAGGACTTCATTTTTACTTGATTACCTCTGAGAAGATGGATTGTTGCATCAGGTCACATTTTGAGGTATTGATTAGGACTTTAACATATTGTTTTAGAAGGATATGATTCCAATCATAATACAAAGCCTTCAAGGTAAAGGCAGAACCTCCCCATAGCAAAGAAGAATTTAAATTTTTGAAGTATCATTATCATATAATCCAGTGGCAATAATTAGTTCAGAGATTCTCTCTCTCCTGCTATCACGCTTTGGGGGCCAACTCATGTCTGAATGGAAATTTGGTAATGCATATGCCTTTCTTTCTGTCACAGTTAATTTTATGTGTCACCTAGCTTGGACCACAGGGTGTCCAGATGTTTGGTCAAACATGATTGTGTGTTTTTTCATGATGGTGTTTTTGGATGAGGTTAACATTTAGATGAGTAGACTGAGTACAGCAGATCACCTTCAAACAAGTAGATCCAACCAAATAAGGCCTAAATAGAACAAATGACTGCCATGTCTTATGTAAAATATGAATTCTCCCCTCAGTGACTTCAAACTGGAACATCTGATCTTCCTGATTCTAAATCAGTTTTGCTTTAGGAATCAAACCAGCATATTAGCTATGTAGAGTTCAGACTTGCCATCCTTCATAATTATTTGGGCCAATGCCTCCATAATCTCTCTCTCTCTCTCTCTCTCTCTCTCTCTCTGAAAACCCCTGACTTTCTAAGACCAGGTCCCAAAAAACATAAGTATCCTTTCACAATCTGAACCTATCAACCTCAGAGCCAGCCATTTATCTTACTAAATACAATACTCAATACCCCTAATCTGAAATGTCTACATCTGGATTATTCCTCTGGTTGTTTGTTATTTTTAGGACTGAGATGCTTCCCCCAGAGATCTCTCTAAGAATAAGGCAAGAATCTTCCCCCACGTCATTTCCAGCTGCCAATATTAAAGCAATTATGGATTGAGAAATACTGAGGTCCAATTCTGAATGGTTTGCTACACAAACACAAATTCTCATGTATTTTTTGTTTACATTTCAAATCATTCTCCTTATCTAATTTGATTTGGGGGTTTTCATGCAACTAGAAAATTCTTAACCAACTGTATTTTACAGCATAATATTCTATATATGTGACTTTGTAAAGAATTAACCTTGACAAAGATACAACACAGAATGTCTGAAGTTAAACAGGTCAGAAGGAACCAAATCAGTCTTTCTAAGCTACAGGAGGTTAATCTATTCCCTCTGACTCTGTGGCTTGAATTTCATCTCTATTTTAGTTATTTTTCCAGATTCTCTAACACCACATCACCTGTTTACCCCTCCCCCAAGACTGTGTGGTTTTTCTTTAAAAGTTTCAATATGGACAAAAATATTGGCTTTTGGCAAACTTTGCATAACTGAGACAAGCAGAATTTTCAAGAACAGCGTCACTAAACATGAGGGAAAACAGAAAAGAAATAATTACAGAAAACATACATGGTATAAAAATAGGCATGTTTTCGATTGCAGGTTGCTGTTTCTAAAAATTCCATTTAAAGCAGGAAATCTTTCCTAGGCACAGAGTTCATTTGCCCTTAGTCAACCATATCCCTTAATTTTGCTACATCCTGTCTGAACTCCTCCCCCACCATGACACCTCATACACCTCTGAGTAAGTGGAAAAAAGGAAGCTCAGAAAGCAGAGTGAACAATCAGTCTGAAAACTTGGAAAAAGCATGGCACGTTGGAGGAAGCAAAAGGAGCCTCAGTGGCCGGAGCTGTGTGATGAGGTTTGATCTTACAGACCACAATAAGAAGATATTATTGTTAATGCAGTGGAAAGAAACTAGAAGGGTTTAAGTCCTGGAATGATCTGATTTACTATTTGAAAAAGAAAAACTTCCTTTATTGGAAAATGATTGTTGTAGGGAGAAGGGAATTCAGGGCACAAGATTTCATTTGGAAGCTAGCTGGGAGGCTCTTGGAGTAGTTCATCTGGGAGATGGTAATAGAAGTGTCAGTGCAGACAGAGAGATGTTGATGGCTTAAGCACATCCTTGAGTAGAACAGGATTTCCCAAGGGGTCAGTGTGGAAAAAGAAAGAGAGAAGACAGTAATGACTTCTAGATTTGTGTGTTGAGTAATTAAATATATGGTGGCAATATTAACTATGCTGGGGAAGACCAAGGAAATAAAAAGATTTGTCTCGTTCATGTTAAGATAAAGATACCTAAATATGTATGAGGTACCATCATATGCACATATCTGGAGCTTAAGAGAAAGGTTTTGATATAAAGTAGGAAAATCATAAGCATATAAATGGCATATAAAAATCATATAATTGGGTGAAGGCAGTCCCTGCACATCTTTACTGAGTGTAACCTCAAATATTATGAGACATTTAGCTTTTTACAAAAAATTCACAGCTGTTATTTTGGTGGAGGAAAAAGACTGGAGGCCTGGAGAGGCTCAGTAAATAAATTCTATTCTTTAGGGGTGAAAATACATTATTCAGGATACTAGCATATGATGCAGATGTTTCAATCTATGTACACTGAGCTAGAACATCATTTGATGCTCTAGAAAAAAAGGAGATGTTTTGCAGAAAGGAAGAGAACCAGGAGATGAAGGGAAAGTGAAATAAAAGAGGGAAAGGGGATGGAAAAAAAAGAATTAAGATGTGTTATTACATGTACTAACACCCCACAAAGAATGTAATTGTTATATAATGTGAACATGCACCAATAAAAATTAATTTAGATGAAAATATTTTCTCAATTTTCTATTTAGTGTTTTCTTGCTTTTGTTTTAGTTATAAGGAGCAGAAACTCACTCAAAAGCCCATAAATTAAAATGTATGAGGGAATATGAAGGAATTCCTGAAAAGGAACTCATCCAGTGCCAGGAAGTTATTGGGATGTAAGACAATGTCAGGGTTAGATTTCTCCCTAGGCTCTCCACCTTGCCCCCAATACCACCCCATAGGCACACATGCACACATATATACTCACAAATACTCAGAGGCTGCATGGCTTTTCTCTCATAGTATCTCTGAGACCGCTTATGCAATTATATACTAAGAAATTATAATAAAATTCTCTACATTTAAACACCACAAATCTAAGTGGATCATACTTGTCTTGGAGGTCTCTTTTATACGTAAGATCAATGCCCAGGAAGGAAACACATGATCCAATGATAGGGGCCCTAAATGGGTTTGCTAAGCCTGAATTCTATTCCTGTGAGATTATAGGGAGATAGATTCACTTGAGTTTCAAATTCCTCTTATATAAGAGGAAGATCTTGGATTGATTTATCTCACAGTGTGACTTGGCTGTAGTCATGTAGTTAGGTGGATCAGAGCAGAGCAGAACCATATTTCTATCACTTAGTTCAACATTTTTTTGTTTCATTACATCATACTGTATGTCTATTTAAAAAATTTTTTAAAAATCCAACCCATTTTTTTTCTCAACTAATTGGACTGTTGTGCAAAAGACAGACTTCAAAAGACAGTATGGTACACTCAAAAAGTTCAAGTCGTGAAACCAAAAAGACCTGGGTTTGGATTTAGGTCTACTTTCAGTTCTGTTCTTTTGGGGCAGTTACTTAACTCCTCAGCATCTATTTTGTCATTTGCAAGTCAGGTGAATATAATACTCAGCAGGGCTGCTGGCTGGCCTGAGTGAGACTGTGTCTACAAAGTGTCATAGACATAGCACTGCCACGCCCCAGATTCCTCACTTGTAATTATTTGGGGGAAGATAAGTAATTATAGCAAAAATACTGATGAAACAGGATGAGAATGAGATGTGTGCTAGTTTCATGCCCTATGTAAGTAATATTTATTCAGGAAAGTATTTTAGTTCAAACTTCCTTGTTGAAAACCTTTTCAAAATTTTAGTCCATGTTTCCCATTTGGAAGCACACACTCTAAATATAATTGGATCTTTCTAGATGATTGAAGACTCTGCCATGCCTCAGGCTTATTATTCCAAACAGTGATTGAACTGCTTAGAAAGAATATGCAGAAGGTGCAAAAGGTAGTTGGAATATGTTGAACTCAGGAAATCTTCTAGAAGTTTGTTGTTTTAAATTCAAATTCTTGCTAACAGTTTCTTTGTGGTCCTAACTTCTAAATAGTGTGAAAATCCTATTTATAATGAGTACTTTGGATAATGTTTCTGTTTAAACAAATGATGAACAAACTTTTATTTTTGTTCTTGTTTTCAATGCCTGCTTTATAGAAGAACCTGAGTCAGGTACTACTCTGGACATGAGGAAATATAAAAATTGCTTCAAAGGCTTAAAAAAATGTACTCTGTCACTAGCAAGGCAAAACAAATTTATGTAAAAGTAACTATAAGAGCCAAACAAATGAGGGAAGTCCTTATTAAAAAAAAAGTCAGTACTTGAAATGGGATTTGAACCATGGCAGCATTTGAACCAGCAGTGCTCAACAGTAGGAGGAATGTTTGGGAGAAAGGTCTTTAAAGCAGAGGAAAAAATTTAAATAAATGCAGGGGGATGGGAAGACTCAGAGTATTAAAAGGACTATAAGTTGTTCATTTTAGAGATAATTAAGGCTAATACGAAGTATTGAGTCGAGCATTCCTAGTTTTTGACAATGTGTACTTAATATCTAAATATTTCTAAAAGTGTTTCTTAGGATTCTGGGTTATAAAAATGTGATCTGTGATCTGCTGTGCATTCTTTTGTAAATTAGTTTACTTCAGTGGTGTCATTATACGTAAATCACAAGAAAAACACAGAACTTGCATTTTG